ACACACACACACACACACACACACACACATATATATACACACACACACATATATACACACACACATATATATATATACATACACATATATACATACACACATACACACACACACACACACACATATATATATATATATATCAGCACAAAACACACACACACACACAAATTGTGTAACATGGAAATAACTTTTCCCTTTTCTCACATTAACAAGGCAATTTTGTAACAACTATGGGAAATGTATGAAGGGGCTTTGTGTATGCTTGGGGAGGGGGGGGGCTGTGTTCTAGGTGGCCAACATGGCATAAAATGAGACTTCACTTTATTTTATCCTCACCACCACTCCACTGTGCCGATAATCTGGGCTGAGAGATGTCAAGACATGGCCTTGAAGTCACTGTGCGAACTCTGCCGCTACATAGAAACCTGAACTCAGATCCCCTAATCTCCATCTGTTATTCCTATTAGTTTGAAAGCAAGCTGGCACACATTTTACTTATTTTTACATTTATTTTTTATCTTTGAGAGGGACTGGCCCAAAGTCCCCCACTAAGTTTTCATGCCTAAAGCAGGACTAGAATTCACTGTCTCCCAGTGATGGTGCCAAAGTCCCCCTGATGGCTTTCATGCCTAAGGTGGCACTAGAGCTCACCATCTCCTGGTTTCTTAACCCAAACTGGCTCTATGGCACTAAGTCAAAATCCCCTCCACTTTGTCTCTGGCTTCCGAGAGACAAAGGCTTACCAGCTGTGGTAGTCCCATTCTCCTGGAAGGCTGGCTTCAGCCTGGCTAATCCCTCCAGCGAGGTGCTGGGCCTGATCCCTTCATCCTGCAGCACTGTGATTATTTTCTCAGTGCCCTGGTCATCGGTGACGGTGGTCTCCACGGGGACAATCTCATTTTTAAACCAGCCCAACTTCTGAGCTCGAGTTGCTCTGGAAACACACCACACCCAAATAATTATCATTATGGTATATGTTTGAAAACTCAAAGAGACTTAGTATATATAAGAAAGGAGCCCAGATGTATTTTAAAACTTTCACAAGAAACATCTTCAAGAAGTTAGAGAGAAAAGAGTCATATAGAGGGAATTGTTTTTTATTATTCCTGGAAATAATCATAACTATTCCCTTGAAAAAATGGCTTTTAAGCAGCACCAACCTTGATCAAACTGTCATTTATCTTGCACGATACAAGATAAACTCAACTTATGACAGGGTCCTTAACAACTATTCAAAGTTATGACGGACCTCCCCAAGGTCTAATTATGATTCAGTTTCAAAGTTCTGATGCCCTAAAGTTGCAGGACTTCCACAACAATGAGTAGTTGGCGACTCGCTCTGCTTTATAACCATCATGATTTAGTACTGTAATGGACATGCTCCTTTATTGTCATAAGTGGAGGACTACCTATGTCTTACAATAGCAATGAAAAGGATTCCTATAGCTCTAATGCTTAGCAGAATAATAGAGGACGCGACCTTAGTCTGAGATGGTTCGTAACATGAAACACAGATTCCCTATTTATGTAAACACAAATGAGACTGTAGTGTCATGTTAATAGTGATACAATGCCATTTAAAAAAAAAACATGCTAATTTGTGTCTGACAAAAGCTTGATGTGTGTGTCTGTGTGTATGTGTTTAAAAGCAGGTGAGTAATCTACGAAAAGGGTCTCCAAACTTGACAACTTTAAGACATGCAGACTTCAGATCCTAGAATTCCTTATCCAGCCATGCTAGCTGAGAAATTCTGGAAGTTGAAGTCCACAAGTCTTAAAGTTGCCAAATTCGGGAGACCCCTGATCTAGGAGAATAAGAACCTCCCTTTCCCACACTTGCTACCTTGCAATCCAGTGCTTGTAGTTTTTGGGGGTCTTGAGAATCAGAAGTAAGGACGGCTCAGCTTTCCCACCAAAGGTCCTATTTGCTTTCAAATGACCCTTGGCCCCCGTTTCTGATAAGCAACTGAGCCAGCTCTTAGTTTCAGCAAATCCTGCAGCCTTAACCTAGGTTACTTGCCCCAGATATATTGTGATTGTGCACAATCCTTGCATAGAGGCAACAGGGCTGGGTTCTCCACAACCAGGAGTTAATATCTGAACAGAACTCTGGCTGCACTTCCATCAGCACCCTCTGGATCACAGCAGACTACATTGGGGGAAAGGGCAAGGGTCTTAAGACCCTTGCCTTTATCAGGCCAACTAAGCTGTGCAAAATCGTTAGCCGGTCTGGAAGATAATGGGAACCGCAATCCAAAATGACTAATGATACATAAATGGAGGGAGCCATATAAATCTGTGTGGTCATAGTCTTAAGCAAGGTATCTTCAAATTGGCTGGGGAATTCTGGGAGTTGAAGTCCACAAGTCTTGAAGTGGCCAGGTTTGGAGACCTCAACCTGGTCTAAGCGAAAGAGTCCAACAAGGACATGTCATTTTATGCATTTGGAATAAACTCTGCTAATTTGGAAACACTCATTAGTTGGCATCGGCTTTCCCAACTATAAAGCACTAGGATATCTAGTGTGGGTAGTCCTCAAGTTACAGCCGGTCGCTTAACAGCCATCTAAAGTTATGGCCAACCCCCCAAAATGGGGCTTACTATCAGATTTGAAGTTTTGACCATGGGGCCCCCTCCACAGACATGTGGCATAATTTATGGAGCTCAGTAGTGCATTTAAAAGTCATTTGCCGTGTTATCTAGTCATGTGACTGCATTTCATGATAACTTTGCTGAAAACTGGCACTTACTCGTTTTTTGGCAAAAACCACAATCCTAGCAAATCATAAGGTTTGCTTAACAATTCCAGCCCAAAATAGATGCTCTATGTAGCTCTATAGAGTAAATGAAAGGCAGTGAAACGGTGGCCAGAACTTTTTTAAAATCTTAGGACTGGCCAATCTTTATGATTCTGGGGTTTGCTCTGAAAAATGAGAACCGCAAGCAACATAAATGTGGCAAAAAGCACACAAAACAGCAAAAAGCCACCCCTTTCCGCTTACTTTTGTTGAGAAGCAAGGGCGAAAGCATCTTGCTTTTCTCGGGAGATACCAAATCTTTCTGCCACATTCTCAGAAGTTATTCTGAAAAACAATATTAAAAGCATGTGGATCAGTTCATGGGTTCTAAAGCATTCTTATCTCTTTATTAAGAAGAAGAAAAAAAGAAAGGACAAATGGAACAAGTTGCCTCCCGAATGTTCTAACTCACAAGTCGCCATAAATTAATTCAGTGACAGCAATTGTCACATCTTCCCAAAAGCAACTTTACAGTAGCTAAGTAAGTTGGTGAAAATGGAGGCCTGGAGTAAAAATAGAACACTATTAAGCTCATCTTCTAATTATCAAAGAATCTTGTCCTGGGTTTTTTTTTCTTCAAATATGCAAAATTGGGTGCATTTGCTCTACTCCACAATGACTGCAACTTTTGCTTTTATGATGCAGGATGTTTTATAACAATGCTGGGTGTGACAGGATGATATTCCAACACTCACAAACCGGGAGGTATTACATCCACCCACTCATTACTCACTTTCCCAGAATCTTAACAAGGAACGACTGGTATTGTGCGTTTAATCTAGCAGTGGCTAGATTTGAATGGTGTTGCCGAATCAACAACATTTGTTTGTGTTAGTGTAGCACAAAACCAGTCGACATCGTGTCCCAGGACAACGTGGGAGCCCAGACTGTACCAAGCTTTTAATGTCAGGAACAGAGGAACTAAAGGCGAAGCCTCTTACCCCATTGGGATCAGGCAGTCCCTCGCTTTGCTGAAGTCCATGATGCGAGAGCTGACATCCCCGGGGTTGGTAGCGCTGCGGAGAGACATGCTCTCCACTCTGGGGGGAGCGGGGAGGAGAAGAAAAGGAGGCTGTGAATATTTCTCATTTAAAGGTAGTCCTCGACTTAAAACCACTCGTTTAATGACCGTTCAAAGTTCCAACAGGGGCTCACGACCATTTCTAACATTTGCAATCACTGCAGCATCCCCATGGCGATGTCATCAAAATTCGGGTGCTTGGCAACTGGTTCAGACTTATGATGCTTGCACAGTCCTGGGGGGCGGAGGGGGGGGAGGTGTTATCATCTGATTCTCCTTTTGTGACTTTCTAACAGGCAAAGTCAATGAAGAAGCCAGATTTATTTGACAGCTGTGCTACTTGACAACTGCAGGGGTTCACTTAAAAGCAAGAAAGGTCGCAAAATTGGGGCTCACTTTAACAGCTGTCTCGCTTAGCAACAGAAATTTTGCACTCTATTGTTAGGGTGTCAAATTTTTCAACTTTTGATTTCCAAACATAAGCAACATTAGGGGCTGCTCAAAAGTTATGACATGCCTTGAGGATTGCGAAGATATTTTGTTTACTTTAATATAATTTGGATGTACCTGATAATTATAAATATTCCAACTTTTTAAACATTTTTTTTTGTTTCATTTGCCACTGAAGATTATTTGTGTACAAATCATGCATGGATTCCTCAAAAACCGGATGAATAAGTAAGCATTTTAATAGAACTAAATGCATGAAGTTACTATACAACAAAAATGTAAATCAATGTGAACCATGGACTGCTGGAAAATATTTAATTAAAACTCCAAAACTTCTGTACCCAGATGAAAGTCCATTTGGACTTGTTTGTCTTGGCAAACTGATATAAAAGTTCATTGTCAGCACTATTTCAAGAAATTTGCAAATTCCACATTTGCCCCCCCCCTCCCCCTACCAGATTCAGATCCAGGAGGGCTCCGGGCATGTTTCAAGCATTCTCTACTTTCACTTCAATTCACTCCCAGTGAATTGTATTTCCTCAAGAGAGACCTATCCTAGCACTTGAAAGAAGAGCCAACTGTTCAATGACCTTCTGAAGGCTATGACAATCGGGGCCAGGCCAGCTGGATCTCAGGGGAAGGGTACTCCAAAGGACAGGGGGGCGGGGGAAGGACCACCTCCTAGACCTCACTGGACAAGAACATTTAAGGGAAGAACCCTGGGGTAGATCCACTCCGTTGGACCAAATATTATCAAGCAGTTGTAGGAGTATAGCATTCAAAGTCAATAGGGATACAGCAGTAATGTTTTGGAATTTTAAAAGTGGAGCCATGGTGGGGCACAGGATGTTTGTGAGTTTTCTTGAAATGGCCCCTCTTATTAAAGTTTAATATATTATTAAAGAAGCAACTGCAAATCCCAAAAGTGCTTTTCTCAAGAAACAAAACAACCACTTCATAAATGCATGGCACAACATAGTATAACAAACCCATTGGGACTTCTCACAGCTAAAGCCACAAGGTTCACGAGAACTGCCATGCAAGAGAACAACTGGGGATTTGCCATCTTCAAAGTCTGTGTGTCCATCCTGAGTAATGTTGAATTTTAAATATTGATGCATGTAAAGAAGCAGGATGTCACCAACTGAGCTCCAATGGAGAAAACTGATTGTTTTTTGAGGTTGGACCATTTTTGATAACGTGTGAAACAAACCATCCAGAACATCTGTCACAAGCTTACACACCTCTAGATTCTGGCCTATGATAAACACTTCGTAGCAGCAATCATGAAGAGCTAGCACAAGTTTGTGGAGAGGAGAAAATTAAGCCTCTGTGCTTTATTGAGGTCAGTGTTACTCCACATCAGATATCGTACAACTGCAGGAATGTGGCAATGCAAACTTAGTGTTGCACAACATCAGGGAGCTCAGTTCAGCCTTCACAGAGTACCGGTATTCAACTTTGTTCTTGGATTATTCCAGGAGTTAATTTGCCAACCGAGCTTATGCGGGCAATTGCGAAATTTAAACCAAGCTATGGGGGTGTAAAGCGACGTGTGGAGGCCTATCCCAGTATTCGTCTAGCTACAGCACGGATGGGTCCTGATACAGCGTGTGAATATTGAAGGAGGCCTAGGGCTCATTTTCACAAGGCCTGTGAAGCAATTGTTTCGTTTGGAGGGATCAGGAGGCCACACCAAGCAACACAGCCATTTGATTAACCTAACCTAGTTTCCAAGTGGACTGCTTAAATCAGTTGCTTTTGCATTTATGCAACATGCTACGAGATTGTGGAAGAGAACGAACGACATTTATAATGTTTTTGCAAGCACAGGGGTTTCTGCCGTACTGAGACACCTGTTCCTTTCAGTTCAGTTTTACAGAGGTGGCACTGAGGATGGACTGATAACTTGCCAAGGCGCTGACTGAAGATTTTGAATCAAAGCAGATACCAAACTTCGCGCTGTAATCTTATGTCCAGCACTACATGCTGTGGAACAAGCCTAAAACTTGGCATTCACCCGCAGGAATTCACCTGCACTCACCCACAGCTACGCCGTGACCCATCAAAACCACGTTCCACAAAAGCGCGGTCGACGAAAGCGCGTATGTGACATCATCACAGCACGACGAAAAAGATCGAAAAATTGAAATAAAAATTAAATTACAGCAAGCCGATTCACATAAAGGTAAGGGTTAGGTTTAGGTTAAGGGTTAGGGTTAGGTTTAGAGTGTTAGCGTTACGTTTAGCGTTAGGTTAAGGGTTAGCGTTAGGTTTTTCGTTAGGTTAAGGGTTAGGTTAAGGGTTAGGTTTAGGTTTAGGGTTAGGTTAAGGGTTAGGGTTAGGGTTAGGTTTAGGATTAGGTTTAGGGTTAGGTTAAGGGTTAGGGTTAGGATTAGGTTAAGGATTAGGTTTAGGTTTAGGTTAAGGGTTAGGGTTAGGTTAAGGTTTAGGGTTAGGTTAAGGGTTAGGTTTAGGGTTAGGTTAAGGGTTAGGGTTAGGTTTAGGTTTAGGTTAAGGGTTAGGTTTAGGATTAGGTTTAGGGTTAGGTTAAGGGTTAGGTTTAGGGTTAGGTTAAGGGTTAGGGTTAGGTTTAGGTTTAGGTTTAGGATTAGGTTTAGGATTAGGTTTAGGGTTAGGTTAAGGGTTAGGGTTAGGTTAAGGGTTAGGGTTAGGTTAAGGGTTAGGTTAAGGGTTAGGTTTAGGGTTAGGTTTTCGCTTTATTTTTACATTTTTCGATCTTTTTCGTCGCGCTGTGATGACGTCACATACGCGCTTTCGTTGACCGCGCTTTTGTCTACCGCGCTTTTGTGGTGGAACCCAGCTACGCAACTGTAGTGGAAAGGACATCAAGAGGAAGTGGCTTTATTTCACCTGCTTAATTCCTGGCTTAAGGGCCAAATACTCCCAGTGGGGAGGTTACCATCAAGGCATCATGCTAGTTTCTTAGAAGCTGTTCTCTCTTCCGCCTTGCCAAGAAACAAATGGCTCTCAGCAGAAGAGCAGAGAAAGGGCTGGTCTGCAACAGAGGACAAAATCTTTTTTTTCTCTTCGAGAAGTTCTTCACCCAACTTCAATGAGAAAACCGGCCACTCTCGTAGCTGCGCAGGGAACACCACCACGGCTGAGGAAAGTCTACGGAGATTCTCAGCCATCCCAGTCACGGTTGTCCCAAAGGTGCTTCTTCAAGAGGCAACTGGACTTCCTTTGTTTTTTTTCTTGATGAAGACCTTCCACTTCTCCTCCAAGGAAGCTTCTCCGGTTCTGAAGCGATGAGAAGCGAAACGTTTTCAAGGAAAAACAACGAAAGTCCAGTTGCCTCTTGAAGAAGCACCTTTGGCACAGCTGAGCGTTTAAGCTGGCCTGTGTTTGATATTTGTGTGTGAGAATACAGGAAGGGGCTTTTGACAGTGACCTGATGCCGCAGACATTTCAGCCTTTGGTAACTTCCGACAATACCTGCTCTTGATTTCCAGAAATCTATTGCGCTTGTTGCTTATCCCATTTTATACAGGTAGTCCCCACTTAATCGTTCAATTAGGACGGACATACTCAAAAGCTACTTTTGACCCAGTTCCAGAGTTCAAATGGGTGCACCCACCCACCCACACACACATGGGCACGTCACGTGACTATATTTCGGGCAGGTTTGGCAACTGGCTCACCTTAATGGCGAGTTGTAGTGCTCTGAAGTCATGTGACTGAGACTTCTTTTTTTGAGGGGCGGGACAATATCTGGCCTTTTGCATCTATTTTTGGCCAAAAAAAAAACCCAAACCCAAAACGGCCATAGGAATACTTTGATTTGCTTAATGACTACTACAAAAAAAAAAGAGTCATTAAAAGAAGTCTGGAGATGTAGATGGCTCAACATGAGATAAATTCTGGGTTCCCTCCATTATAGCTGTATTTGGAGGACTACCCGTATATCAGGGTTGTAGGCTAGACTGAGAAATCAAAATCCCAGAAAAAGGCAGACAGAAATTTATTCCACGTTGCCAGCATGGAAACTATATGTGGACGTAGCAGTAGTGGGGAATCTGTGCTATGAAGTAGCAGCTGCAGGGAATTTCCCCCTAGTAGCCCTGTGAATTGGTAAAGAAGTCATCTTTTTTATCCCAAAGTATCAATTAACAGAAAAAGCAGGGGACTTAATTCTAAAAATGGTTTCGATGAATGCAAAGAGTTTGCATTTTACAATGCTTTCATTCATTTTAGTTAAGCAGGCAGCACAAAATGGATACCTACAAGGTGATTAAAACTATGTCTTCACCACCTCAGCTGCTTTTTAAAAAAAAAATATGTAAGGCTGTTACACAAACAAAACAAACTGGATGAAAAAAACCACTGGAGGTTATTATAAATCAAATTAAAATTATTTCCAAGACAAATTAGGAAAGGAGATTTCCTTGAGGCTGGTATTGTGCAACAAAGTGCAATATTGCTCTCTCACACTCCTGCAAAACGCTGGTCTCCAGAAATCCTACAAAATACAGATTTTCATAATCTCCTTAAAAATATTACACAATGGGGTAATCAACAAAAGGGCTGCTATTGGTAAGCAATGAACAATTACGGGAAAAAAAACTTACCCACAGGCCAAACCAATATCATAAGAACCATTTCTAATGCCACCTGTAAGTAAAGAATACAAATTTCACATCAGTCAGTGAACTCCACATACACTCTTCTTTGTAAGTGCTACTGGGGGAGGGAAGATCAGCATATTCATTCACTTAGATGGTGTTTTTTTCCCCCCAGAAAGGAATTAAAGATTATATCAACTTTATCCTAGAAAAAAAATAGTATTCCTAGAACTCTATAGAACAGGAGTCTCCAACCTTGGCAACTTTAAGACTTGTGAACTTCCAGAGTTCCTCAGCCAGCTTTACTTTGCTGGCTGAGGAATTCTGGAAGTCTATGAGTCTTAAAGTTGCCAAGGTTGGAGACCCCTGTTCTATAGAACTTACTGGCACCAGGATTATTACTTCCTCTACAGAAAGTATTACCAGGCAATCTACAATGTTATCTTCTAGAAGTTAAAACCTCTACATACCATAGTATATCAGGTATTTGAAAACCCCTGTGGTTCAATGACTGAAATTCTACGTTTACTCCATGCGTGGAGTCTGACCGTCCCACGGGGAGGGACCCAGCCTTCTTACCAGCAATATTAATCAGAGCTTGCAATCCAGATGAACACTGCCTGTTAACGCTCATTATTGGGACAGTCTCTGGGATGCCACTAAAATAAAAAAGACAAAATACTTCAAATGTATAAAAGGAGGAATTGGAAAAGACCCTCAAGCCTCAGCGGACTAATTTTAAGGTTTTGTTATGCCTCGATGGCCTTGGTTTGTTACTTTAGGAAGATCCATTAAAAACTGTGCAACTAGGAACTGATTGTACAGCACTCTGCAATCCTCAACCAAGCTTAGGTAGAGAGGCCAGTTTGGTGTAGTGGTTAAGGTGCTGGCTAAAAAACCAGGAACCTGAATTTGAGACCAGCTTTAGGCATGGAAGTCAGCTGGATGACTTTGGGCCAATCAGCCTTGCTCAGGCCAACATACCTGATAGGGCTCTTGTTGAGGAGAAATAGGAGGAGGAAGGAGTATTAGGTCTGTTTGCCATCTTGAATTTCTTATAAATAAAGGCAGGGTAAAAATCAACCAGTCAATATATGAATAACTTCTCCAGAATCTCACTTCCATCTCCTACATTAAGGATGCCCAACCTTGGCAACTTTAAGGCTCATGGACTTCAACTCCCAGAATCCCTAGCATGGGGAATTCTGGGAGCTGACGTGCACAAGTCTTAAAGTTGCCAAGGTTGGGCATCCCTGAGCTATACAATGAAAACAGCAAAGGAGAAACAGGAGTACAAGTGCCTAATATCAAATTGGACTAGTAGTCCAACATGACCTTTCTTTGCAACTGCTAGTATTAACCAAACCAGATTCCCTCTTTTGGCCTCTGCCTTGGTGTTTTGTGCCCATGATCTCACTTCTAGGTTGTTCAGTGGCAAAGTTCACCTGATAAACTGCCCAACTCTCGCAATCATGCATCCAGCGCCAGGTTGAAGTACATTGCCTAAGTACAAAAAGATGAATTCACTTCGGTTATCAGGATTTGGTTACCCTCCCAGATACACTGCAGAGGCCATTGCTTAAAAAGGTAGGAAAGGTAGGTGGGATGACCACAGCCCACTCCCCGCCTGGTAGTTTGGCCATCCATCTGCAGGAGAAGAAAGGAAACCAGAGGCTGCAGCCCAAAAGAACGAACTCCCCGCGGAGATTCGGACCCTCACCTCTCTCCAGGCCTTCCGGAAAGCCGTCAAAACCTGGCTGTGCCTGCAGGCCTGGGGTTGATGAGTCCCCCTCCCATCTCGACTGGTATGGCTGTGTGACACTTGTTTATTTTAATCACTTGTATTGTGTTTTATGTTCCCTTTTCCCCCTTTGAGTTGTTCGCCGCCCTGAGTCCCTCCCGGA